AACCCTTGCTACCAGAAGCCAGTAGCATTCGAGGGATGGATGGGTGGGTGGGGAGAAGTGAGGGCAGAAAGGAAAGCCTTCCTGGCCGCAACTACAAAACAGTCAAAGCCTCTAGGTAGGGGTTTAATCAGACTTCTTCCACGCTGCAAGAGAGTTACCTCCCCACCCCAACCCAGGGATGGCAGACACACAACTCCGTATCATACAGATTAAGCCAAAGATCCTTGTCCTACCACACCCTCCTTCATGAAACCTAGCTAGTCCATTCTGAAAGCAATTCAGAGATCCTGTCCCACTATTAGGCTTGGCAGACTTCCTTCACTCCTCTCCTTGTTAGAAGCCTTCTAGTTGCCAGTATAGATTCACCTTTAGCCAGTTTGTAGCTTTCTTACTCAAGAAGAGATATCTGTTCCCTTAACCATCTTAGTGGCCCTGCTTTGAACCCAGTAAAGTTTATTTAAGTTAAACTGCCTTGAGCGATGGTGACTAGGCCCACACACATTATTCTAAGTGTGGTCTTACCAAGGGCTTCTGCAAATGGTACCATGACTTCCTGATCTCTACAGCACATGCAAGTATTAGGCACATACACCTAGGTTGTGTTGGCTTTTTTCATGGCTGCATTGCACTACTGGCTCATGGACCTCCTATAATTGACCAATATATGCAAGTCCCTCTCTTCCTGTTTGTCTCTCCAGTCTATGTACCCCCATCTTGTAGCCGAAGTCCTTGTTGTTGGTTCCTACGTATGCATAACATGACCTCTGGAGGCCCCTTCCAGCCCTACTTTTCTATGACTCTTGACTCAGTCATCTAGTCCACGCCACCTGTCAACCCTATCCAAATCATTCTATACAAACCATAATCTAAATTCTACACAAGACTACCATTAACTGAGACAACACAGACCCAACACTCTAACCTGCCACAGGCAAAAGCAGGAGAACCATGGTAGCCAAAATCTTGCTTCTATGAAATGATAATATGAGGTTTGATCAAAAAGTTCTAAGACTTGATGTTCAGGGTACTGTTCATCAGGAATTTGTACCGAGTGGTCAAACAATCAATCAGGCCTTTTATAAAGAGGTTTTCATTCGATTGAGGGATAAAGTTAGAAGAAACCGCCACGAGCTGTGTGAAAATGGTCGATCGTTTCTGCACTACGACAACGCTCCTTCACACTTTGCTGTCTCCATTCAAGAATTTTTGGCTGAAAAAAAAAAACATTCTTGTGATACCACACCCTCTGTATTCACCTGACCTGGCCCCATGTGATTTTTTTCTATTCCCCAAAATCAAAATAAAAGCTGAATGGAAGGAGATTTGATGACATTCCAACCATCCATAAGAATGAAAACAGAACTCAAAAAACTCACAGTTGAAGACTTCCAGCATTGCTTCCGAAAGCAGCAGGAACATTGGGACAAGTGCATATCATCTGGGGGAGATTACTTTGAAGGGGATGGCTCACAATGTTGTTTGTACACTATTCTTTAAAATAAAGGCTAAGTCTTAGAACTTGATGATCACCCCTCGTATATGCTCAAGTGATCCCAGGTAGAGGGCCATGCCCCTCACTATAGAGGAAGGCAAAAACTTCCATAGTTCACACCAATCTGGCCATGGGATAAAAATTCCTGACTCTCAGTTTCATAGTTGTAAGGTTGGAAGGGACCTAAGTAGATCAAGTCTGACCCCCTGCCCTGGGCAGGAGTGAATACTGAGCTCATGACCCCAGATAATGCGATGGGTCAAACCCTAAGTGGAGGGGCAAGACCCTCTAGCCAAGAGCCTCTGGTTTTGGTCCCAGCAGAAACACTGGCACAGCCCAGGGAAAGTCAACAGCCTTGGTTGTAGCCAACACCACTGAGAAAGCCTTAAAAACACCCTGACAGGTAAAAGAAAGGGGGGAGAAGGGAGGGGCAGGGGCAAAAGACAAGCCCACAAGTATGGGAAATAGCCGCAGCGAACATAGACATAGCTACATCTAGATCATCCCTAACTAGTGGCTGTCCAGTCTCTTTTTTAACACCTCCAATGATGGAGAACCCACAGCATCCTTAAGCAGTCTAGTCCACTGCCTCACTGTTCTAAGTGAAGACATTTTTCTGGATATCCAGTCTATACTTTGCTGCAACTTCAAGCTACTAGTCTGCATCCTCCTCCTGCAGCAAGAAAGAAAAGCTACTTTCCCTCTTCCTTATGGCAACCCTTCAAGTATTTAAAGACTGGTACCATGTCCCCTCTTAACACCTTTGCCTCAAGCTGAATATGCCTAGCTCCTTCAGCCTCTCCCCCCTCAAGAACTCATAAGGACAGAAGAGCAAACATTCCCCATGGCCAACAGGAAGATCTGACCCTCATAATGAACTAGGTGGTTTGGGCAGGGATAGCAAGGTGCAAGTGTGAGGGCCTAGCTCCACCTCCAGCTCTCAGAGATCAAGCAAGACCTAACAGTTGTCCATATCTCTCAGCCCCCCTCTCATCTGAAGAATCTGGTTGAGATGATGGTAGTGGGAGATGGTATACTGGGCCACTGCCCTGTGAGACACTGGGCCACTGATACCTAAACCAGATGCTCACAGGGTCACCCCTGACTTAGACCCTAGAAGTTTCTGATAAGGTAGATACAAGCATGCTTAGGACCCTCACACCACAGCCTTACAGCTTGGCTTACTTACATGGCAGGTCTGGTCAGCCTCTCTTTCCCCGCAGGAAGGACAGATTGTTTATTCCCTATTTAGAACAGCGCAGGATATTCCGCTTGCAGGCCCAGCCGAACGATAAGAAGATAGTGGGAAATTCAACAAACTCTCTATATATTTTGGGGAAAGGAGGAAGGGGACAGACTCCCCTTCCAGTTCTACCAGGAACAGTCAGATTCCAGGGGGGCCTGAGTCCAGAGTGAATAAGTGTTGCTTCCATACTTGTGCACAGAGAACTCAGGCCACAGATGAGCTACAGGCATCTGACCCAGCCAAGCTAGTCAGAAGCGTGACAAGTTAGAATCCTTCACCCACTTGAGCCAGTTAACAGGGCAGCTGTTCTGTACAGATACAAGCATGGATTTACCAATACAGCTGTGCTCAGAGTAGGAGTGATTTAGCGGTAGAATATGCTGGTATTTCTGTTCTGGTAAGGGACTGTTCCTCTAGGTCAGACTCGCACATTTTTGCCTTTCTGTACATAGGACCCCTTCCTAGGATCATCTAAACATCCAGAAACCAACAACTTCCCTGTTGCTTCAGGGGCATTAGGAGTATCCGTCTCCCCATGCTTCTACCCAAGGCAGATTAGAGGATTTTGAACCTCATGGCTGTGGGTGAGAGTCTGAAGTGGGGATTCTGGAGAACCCTCAGGTCAACAGCTGCCTGTAAACAAAAGGGGACTGGGCTTAGCCTGGGAGACCCCACCCAGTTCTGTGCTCCAGTGGCATGGCATCCCTAGCACAGAAAGAGCCTCAGCCTGCACAGCCAGGCTGAGGCCTAGCACAGCCTCAGCCTAGCACAGCCAGAGCCTTCCCTCTGATGCAACTGAAGGAAAAAAGCAATCACTTGCCAGACACCCCTGCCCCGAATAAGGATCTGAGATTGGATGGCTGGTTCGTGTTGAGCAGTGGCCCTCCTACAAAGCTCCTGAGCCAGATCAGCACATCCATCAAATATACGAGGGGAGAAGTTGAGGAGGCGAATATTGATTCGGGGGGGTGCAGGAAGAAGGACACAGAAGGAAGATGGTGAAAATGAAGCAGCAGAGGGCACAAGGAAGTTGCTGGAGGGAAGGAGCTTGTGAAGAGTTTCAGGAATGGGCTGAGACGGGCCCTGTCACCCCACTCCACAGTGGGATATGGGCCAGCCTCATAGAGAGGAGCTAACACTTACGAATGTCTTCTAGGTCAAGGTCATCATAGAGGAACTCATTCTCCTCGAAGTCAGGGTCCTGTGAGGAGTCCACATAGTACTCCACATCGTCCTTGATCTTCCGGATCGAGTCCACCATGATGGAGTCGTTGTCCAGCATGCGCAGGATGGTCTCCAGCATGCGGATGTGATACCGATGCTTCTCAATGTGACGCTTAAGGCCTTCAATCCGGTCCTGCTTCTGTTGGGCAATGGACAAACGGATAGAGGGATAAATGCCACTTCTTTGATCCAAGTCTGCTGCCCCCAGAGCAGTGGGGTCTCCACAGCACACAAGGACCAGTCAGCCTCAGGGAACTCACCAGGGGGCTGAACTAACCCCCACCCTCCCCTGCTTTCCCCCACCAGACCCACCCCTCTCTTGAAGCTAGGATAGAATCCAAGACTCACTCCCTCTCAGAGCTGGGTAGAACACAGGTGCCATGGCTCCTAGTTCCCCATTCTGATCACTAACCCCAATGCCTACCCACACTCCATTCCACTCACATCCTTGTCCCCCTTCTTCTTCCGGGTCTGGACCGACAGCGACTCCACCTCGCTCTCAAACTGATCCACCTGCATGTTCAAGGTGTCGATGGTGTTCTGGGGAGAGCCACACACTGTCATTCCCACAGGAGCCTCTTGGGGGCATCACTGCGCCCACTCAAGTCCTCACTGCCAACCCACTGCACATCCCAGCCCCAGATTTAAAAGGCAACAAGCTTGCAGGCTTGGTGGTGCTACGCTAGCTAGCACCATGTCCAAAAGGGACCTGGGGGTCATAACTGACCATAAAATGAACATGAGCCACCAGTGTGATGCTACAGTTAGCAGAGCAAACAATACGCTGGCATGCATCAACCAGTGCATCTCAAGTAAAACTAAGGAAGTTATTCTCCCACTCTGCTCAGCATTGGTGAGGCCACAGTTGGAGTACTACGTCCAGTTCTGGGCACCACACTTCAAGACAGATGTGGAGAAGCTTGAGAGTGTCCAGAGAAGAGCCACTTGAAGAGCAAGCCATACAAGGAAAGGCTGACAGATATGGGACTGGTCAGCCTAGAAAAGAGAAGACTTAGGGGGATTTGGTGGCAGCTTACAAATATATCACGGAACAGCATCAGGGGCTAGGCGAACAACTATTCACCAAAGCGCCCTAAAGGAAAACCATGAGCAACGGTCATAAACTCCTAGAAGGAGGTTTTAGACTGGATATAAGGAACAACTTCTTTACAGTTAGTGTGACCAGACTCTGAAATAGACTACCAGTAGGGGTGGTGCAGGCACCTACCCTGAAGATCTTCAAAAGGAAACTGGCTACACACCTTGCTGGGGTTATTTGACCCCAGCAGTCTTTCCTGCCTAGAGCAGGAGGGCTGGACCCGATGATCTCATAAGGTCCCTTAACTTCTGTGAATCTGTGAGCCGACTCCATGAAACACACTTTCTTACCCTTTGGATGGGCATGTTATACATGCCTAGCACTGAAATGCAGCCACCTATCAGGTGGGACAAGGGGCTGCTCATATAGAGAGACTCTTTATTGGCATGGATATGCAGCAGCTTCTGGGTGCGTGCAGCCCCACACCCTCTAGTGCTAAATTGAGGCTGGCCCCAAGGGCAAAGGACAGCACCCCTCTTCAGTATCTGCTTTCCAAATGGGTATCCCCCTCCCCCACAACCCATCCTCACCGTGAGCCACTGGCCAACCTCCTCCTTCTCCTTCTGTGCTGGGTCCACCTTCTGTGCCAGGCCCAGCCCCTCCTTTGAGTAGGCTTTGGTCTTTGTCTCCCGCTCCACCACCTTGAACCGCTCCATTTGCTGGAACCAGACAGAGAACAGGGAATGCTCCTTCCCAGAGGTGGGGCAGAACCCAAGCATCCTGGAACCCCTGCTCCACCACTCAGTACTACACCCTTTCCAGAGCTGGGATGAAACCCAGGTGTCCTAGCTCCCAGATTCCACCCCCTGACCCACTCTAACCCAGCAGACCCCACTCCCCTCCCAGAGCTGGGTCAAAACCCAGAAGTCCTGATCCCACCATACTTACCACTACTCTATGCTGTCACTTTCCCACCAGGGGCTCTTGCTCTGGGTGCACAGGCCCAGCAGCCTCTGCCCAGGCTCCATGCCCCCTACCACACTTGCTCTGCCAGATGGTTGGCTGCCCCTTATGATGTCACACTGGCCAATTACAACCAAAGGGGGAGGGGCAGGTCCTCAGGCCCAAGCTGGCCCTTGTCTATTCTAGCCTAATGCCTAAGGCATGAGGAAGTCTCCCTTCTCTAGATGTTCCCAACCGCCCTAGGGCAGGACCCTAGCTCTTCTCATGGTCCCTAAGCTCTCTGCAGACTGGTCTTCTCTGGACCTGTCCCTCCCTCACCCACAGCAGTCCCAACCAAGCCAGGGAGTAGCACCCAAAAGGACTGCAATATGGATGCTGTGTGAGGGCAAAAGGGCTGGTTGCAGGGTAGGGGAGAGGATCCTGGTTTTTAAGAGCAACCCAGGGACAGGAGACAAGGCATTGAAAGAAGGCTGGAGGTGGCTGCCCAGTTCTCCCAGACCTCTCCTGCAACACTGGATCCACCCAGCAGAGGTCCCATCTCCCAGGGCTGGGTCAGCCTGCCCTCCCCTGCCAACAGCCTCTGTGGATCTACCAACAGCCCCACCCCTGCCCAATGCAGATGCCTGTTACCAGGTGTGAAGTTACCCACAAAACCTGCTGCTACTGCCCCAACCCTGTCAGAGTGGGCCCCTCCCTGCCACGTTGTGGAAGGAGCTCTGCTAGCCTACAAAGGTGGTAGGGCTGTTGCCCCCATGCAACCCCTACCGTCTCAATGAGCTTCCGGTTGTCTATCAGCTGTCTCTTGTCTTTGATCTCATTTGAAGCTACCCAGGTCTTGATCTGGTCCCTCAGTCTCTACAGAGATAGAAGGGGGAGATCAGCAGAGGGATATGGAGACCCACAGCCCCAAGGGAACCCTAACTCAGGCACTGCCTCCAACAAGAGCTCCTGGGAAATGACAGAGCTCTGGATCAAGAAGCATCAAGGCCAGTGACTCAAGTCCAAGCAGGAACACCAGATATGAGCCACTGCTGGGCTCCCCTGAACAGGGAAGAAACCTGCTACTGCACAGGCAGGGGATCTCATGATTTCCAGACTAGAATAGGAAAAATCTTGCTGGAGAATAAGGAAAGATGGTAATGTAAGAGCAGAAGGAAACCAAGAGACAAAATTCTCTCAAGCTCTGGGAGGAGAATAGGGCCTAGGGAGTTACAGCAGGGGGACCAAGAGCCAGAACTCCAGGGTTATTTGTCCCAGCTCTGGGAGGAAAGTGAGTTCTAACAGGTTAGAGCACAGGTGAAGGGGAAGAGTTTGAAAGTCAGAACTCCTGGACTCTATGCCCAGCACTCAGGGGAAGGAGAAAAACAGGGGCTGGTAATTAAAGCAAGTGGGACCTGGATTCAGAACTCCTGGGTTCTATCAAGCCATACTTGTCCTGTCTTGGGCTGGTGGGTGCTTCCTCAAGCACCCTGACATGGTGGTAAGCTGCATCCCACTGGCTTTGCAAAAACTGAGAGCTCAGGCTGGATGAGCGGCTCCTTGTTGGGAGCGATGGGGAGATAGAACACTCCTTACCTGGAGCTTCTTGATCTCTTTCTTCAAGTCTGCTTCGTACTTCTCCTTTTGGTTTGCATTGGCTGCATTGTGGAGCTGCTCCACAGAGAGAAAGAGGGTGAGATGGAAAGGGGCAGGGTGAAGCAAAGGGAAGGGGAACAAGCCAGGCCTAGTGAGGTGCTTCTCACCTTCTGCCAGATGTCTTCAAACTGCTCTACTCCTTCAGAGACCTTCTTCAGGCAGCGATCGATTTCACCTGAGGCAGAGAGGGGGTGGGTGTGGAGAAGGACAGGCCCCAATCCAGGCCCAGCCAAAGCTGGGCCAATTACTATCACCTGCCCTTGCCCCTCCCCACCCACCCCTTCATTAGCCCAGTTTCCAGGCTAAAAGAGCCCAGAAACTCCCCAAGGAGAAAGGCATTTATACTGTGATTTGGATCAGAAAGAGAATCAAGGAGTCCTGGTTCCCAGCCCTCTTGTAACCCACTAGACCCCATTTCCTTCAAGAGCTGGATAGAGAACCCAGGCACCTGGGCTCCCAGCCACAAGACTGAGGAGTTTTTATCCTAATACTATTTCTACCCCTCCCTTTCCTGGGGCTGGGCTCTTACCTTGTAGTTTCCTTTTATCAGCCATGTTTCCTGCACTAGAGAGGGGCTCTCTTCATACTTTATAAAGCTCCGATACTAGAAGAATAAAAAACAACAGGTTACCTTGAGCAGCCTGCTCTGGCTATACACCCCAGGGCAAGGCCCTGCCCCATTCATCACTCTACAAGTTCCCCCACCCTGGGCTAGCGCCCCCTACAGAGGACTGATTTTTGCCCCCTTCCCATCTGCTCTGTCCTGCCCTGCCCTGGTGTTGGATCAGTGCCTCTTAGAAGGGAAAGATCCCTGCTCCATATCCCACACACTAAGCCAGTATTAAACTCAGGCCTCAGTACCTGCTGCATCATGACCACTAATTGCTTCATTACACACCAACAGGAAGAAGCAGCGCCCATTTCCCCCACCCTCACCAGCAGGGAGCAGTGCTGCCCACTCTCCCTCTCTCTCACGCTAGAAACCAAAACCTTGTTTACCCAGACATAAGGCAGCCTACAAACTACCTGTGATTGTCTTGGCTTCTATGGGTGCCAGTGGGATCCATTCCCCCTCCCTGCCTACAGATCCCTGTCCCCAAGCTAGTGATGCGAGTAGGAAGCTTTGGCCATGGCAGTGGTAGCAGATGGGGAGTAACAGTAGCACAGTGGCTGGCTGTGGGGACCAAATGGATGTATGCTTGGACCACAGACTCTCTCTGCTGAGGAGCAAGGAGGGAGCTGGCAGGAGCCTGCTGTGGCTGGGAAAGAACCATAACCTCCCAGAGCCTGGGAGATTTCATGAGGCCCCCAAGGCTGAGGTGAGTGAGACTGATTAAGAATTGGAATCTGTTTGGCTCCTGGTAGTGGGAGAGAGATGGGCTCCCTCCCTAGGGCATAGCTCCTGCACCGGCTTGGACCCGATTCCCAGGGTTGGGAATGTCAGCTGCGTACCCCATCATGCCAGCATTCTATCCAGGCTCTGACCTGAACCACCTCTGGGCAGCTTCAGTGTCTGCCCAGAAAACAGCCCCAGTGCCCTCTATTGGCAGCCAGTCCCTTATACCAGAAGGGGGGAGGCTGTTTCTACCTCTTTTTTCCCCCAGAGGGGTCTAGGTAGGACTGGACAAGCTGTGGACAGTTATTACCACTTCTAGTACCCCCAGGAGGGAGGGGGTCATGTCAGTGACTTTCCCCACTGAGGCCAGGGGAGGAAAAGATCCCTCTTCCCCCCAGCTCCTAACAATGCTTTCTGGGCCACAGGGATCCCCAGGACGTGACACCATGCATGGAAGGTCCACAACTCCTGCTTACCTGCAGACAGCTTGGCTCTGGGACTTTTGTGAGCCGTGCTGAGGGCTACTGCACAGGTGAAGGTGGCACATGACTGGGAGGAAGCCAGGGGGCAGAGGGCCCCTCCCCCAGTCTGAGCCCCCACTGAAGCAAGGGATTTTGGGAAAGGCCCTGGCCTATAAAGCATAGGTGGTGGGCTGGGGACCTCAGCTTGGGGATGTTATGGAGAGGAGCCTGTAGTGCTTCTTGGTCCCTTTGCACAAAGTCACTTGAAGGAGGTAAGTGATGCTGGGCTCAAGTTACAGACCCAGAAGCTGAGGAACATGGAGGGCTGGGAAGGTGTCTTGGGTCATACAGCAGGTGGAAGAAGAGCCCGTGAATTCTCCAACCACTGCCTTGTGCCCTAGACCCTGCTGCCTTTCCAGGGCTAAGATGGAACCCAGGAGCCCCAGTTTCCCACACTTCTGATCCATTAAACCCTACTTCTCCCCCCCCACA